TCTGAATAAAAAATGTTTCTTCATAAGCATTTACAAGTAATCACTTCACAAACAATATATATAAGTAGCTAAGTAGTTTTCACTAAACTCAAGGGACTTCACAATTTATCGTCGGTCGATATCTAGTAGGTCCATCGAAGCATCACGAAATGAAAAATTATTTAACGGCAACTTATGCAATAGTTTTCAAAGCTTGAACAAAGATTTTAACAAAAGTGACAACAGCTTTATGACAAATAATACGAGTTCTGACAGCATTAATAATAATAACGTTCATGTTCATAGTGACTATAAAAGCAATAACAGGTATTATTATCGCAGCGAATTCATCATTAACTTAGATAGACAACTACTTATTATACAATCATTTCAATTAAATGTATCACTTAATCTTATGAAGCAGGTGTTTACTTACTTTCACTGCATTCTCGCAATACTGATTTGGTCAACTAGCTTATTCCAAATGAACTCAAGATTAATCCTGAAAAGGAATGGACACCCAGTTTATTTCAACTAAAAACATGTAGCCTACATGCATTACACTGCTTACTGAGACATTTGATACCTGCTTTCCGATCTTCGTGACAGGAAAACAGTAAATGTAGGTTTACCTACATATACTGTTTTTATCTTGATATGGGATGAATTCATTGAATTCAGCAAATAAATCCTCTGGTTTATCAAATCTATCATGAGCTGTAATAGTATGTGCTGTCAATTATGCACCCGACTTGATAAAACGCTCCTGGCAATTGCGAACTTAACCAAGCAGTTAAACGACGTTTGAAATTACCGCAGGTCGAATGACAAACTGGCCAATCACAAGCGGGCAAATCACCTGTTTATCTCACTCGCGGGCACTCGAAATTACGGCCGTCGACAGGCTGTAAGGCCTGGTAAGTAAGCGGTTTTCTAGCGTTTAAACTGTATGTTTATCTAATTTCAGGTTGGCCACGTAGCGTACAGGGATTGGTCGCCCAAGACGACGCAACCGATGACCAATAGGAGGGCTCTTCCCCTCTCCCCTAATTGTATTATGATTGGTTGTAAATAAACTCCTTGACCTTGAGTCTTCGTTCTTACTAGCACGCGGCACTTGTGTGATCACCCTGCTAACGTGCGCTTTGCTCTCTGTTTCAGATCATTGCTTGACGATTGGCCCTACAAGGCTGCCGCCAAGGTGAGGATTGGGCTATCGCGATGTATTTTTGCGCATTGTATGGGTTATCGTGTTCATATCTATTAAGGTGTTATAAGCGTTCACTTTTGCAAAAAATGGGTATAATTAAGCAGTTTTAGGCTTCTGTGGCCGAAGAAAGCAAAATTTTCCTGTATTGTGGTCGTATTAACGCGTGATATTGCCTTGATATCCCAGACGAATTATTACAAAAATACACATGCATTTAGAGAAATTGTGCATAAAAATGACTATTATTTTCGTCTGAGGGCCTTAAAGCTTTGTTATTTGCTAGCTGTTTTAGATTTTAGTTTGTCAATTGAGTACAGACATTGATTGTTCTCGTAGCAGTTAATCTATGAGAATCAAGCAATTGAAAGAGAATGAGCCCATATACATCAGTTAGATGTATGTTCTGAGGAGCCAACGCATTTTTATTTTCATACGTGATGAGTGAAATCTTCCACAACACATCGAAGAAATCATACGATTGGTTGTCGCTCGTCTTTGATGGTGATCTTAGTGAAGGGTTCACAATTTAACATGCATGATAACCTTGTAGCGGTAAATAATTCCCCAAAATTATTAACCACAGCAATCATCACTCAACATTGGATGCTGACCACCACTGTTTAAGTCGACTTGTTTAGCTGAAGGCTTACGGTCAAGCATCCCCGCCATTTGGTGCTCCGTCGTGTCACGTGCGTGCACGATTAATAGCTAGCTAAGCATTCACCTCTACCCGCGATTTTGTCCCGAAATATAATACGTACTTTGGACGACAAAATCTGGTCTTTTGCTTTACCATTTGGTACTCGAAGAACGAACACTATAGTGGTTGTTGGTATAAGATCTTGCGTTAGTATAATCCGTACAACTCGCGAACGTCGATACCCGCAGCCGCTAAACTGGTGAGCCCGTCAACCACTAAACTGGTGAGCCTAACCACGAACTACATCTTCAATTCACACGCAGATAAACCCGGTGAGTTCGTTCCTTTTTGTGTTTATTCTTGTACTATATTGTTATCGGCATACTTTTCGTCATGAGTGATCCTAGCCCCAAGGTTATTCAGATTCGCTCAACCGCCAAAACAATCCAGCTAGTACCATATTGGCCAGATAATGCTGAAACGTGGTTTCAGATTGCTGAGTCTGATTTTTGTGAACATGGTATAACTGATCAACGTTCACAGTTCCTTGCAGTTATTCACGCCCTACCGCGGGAATTCAGCAGGTGCGTAACTCTGCAGATGTCGGTAAGTAACTCGTACGAGTTGCTCAAAACATCCATCCTCAAGAGAAACGTTCTCACAGATCGACAACGTCTGGATGAGTTATTTCGTAACATCGAGTTAGGAGATCAGTCAGCCGTGAGCATGCTGGCAAGAATGAAAGAGATCATTGGCCAAAGTCAGTTCGACGAAGGACTGTTCAGAGAACTATTTTTATCCAAACTGCCACAGTCAGTTCAGACTGTACTTGTGACACTTCAGGGTGTTCTCATGGATGATTTAGCTGTCTCTGCAGATAGAATTCTAGAGATAACGAAAAGGCCAGTTACCGAAGTATACTCTGTTACCGAACAGACTTCGAAGAAGGATTCTGCAGTGATAGATGAAAGCAATCCTCGATCCAACTTTTCAACCGATTGTTGACAAATATCCGGAACTCAATTGCCCATCTAACGATCTTCCGTGTATAACCAGCAATGTTATGCACCACATCATAACCTCAGGACAGCCCGTGACATCTAAAGCACGACGACTGGCCCCTGACAAACTGAGAATTGCCAGAAACGAATTCGATCATATGCTCACCCTTGGCATCATTCGGCCATCGAATAGTCCATGGGCATCCCCATTGCATATGGTACCGAAAAAGGATAGTAACGATTGGCGACCCACTGGTGATTACCGGCGAGTGAACGCCAAAACAACCCCTGATTGCTACCCTTTGCCTCACATACACGACTTGACGGCAACGTTATCTGGAGCATCTATATTCTCCAAAATCGACTTGGTTAAAGCATATAACGAAATCCCTATGGCAACGGAAGATATTCCGAAAACGGCTATCATCACGCCTTTCGGACTTTTTGAATTCCTAAGTAAGCCATTCGACCTCCGGAATGCGGCCCAAACATTCCAACGCTTCATCGATGAAGTATTTCGCGGTCTCGACTTTGTATACGCATACTTAGACGACTGCCTCATTGCCAGTCCAGATAAGGAAACTCACCTTAGACACTTGGACTTGGCATTTGAAACGTTACGCCAACATGGTGTTACCATCAATATCCAGAAGTGTCAAATAGGCGTTGACTCACTTGATTTTCTGGGTCACACTATTGACTGTCAGGGCATTCGCCCACTGGCTACTTCGGTCGATCACTCTAAGAAAACGCGTTCTGGACGTCACGTTAGATTCTCAGAATACCTCCACACCTATTTCACATAACTGAGTGACACATCAAGTTCTTTTATGTTGCATCATTTAACACAAGTAAACGATATTTTTCCTATAACCGTACATTAAACATGCACTTAAAAAAAATTAAATTAGATGTATATATTTTTTCCGATATTTTGAAATTTACATTATCTTACTGTATAGTAGATGCACGTCATTTTTTGGTAATAAAACGCTTATTTGGTACATTTTCCTTGACAAGGTTCTCAGCATTCTTGTTTTCTTTTCCAGGTGCAACGGGCACTGGACAGGAAACAAACGAAGCACGGTATCCAACGAACAACACTGAGGAAGCTATGTACAGACACCCTATTAGCATAGGCAGACAGACCAGCAGGCTCTCGATCAAGCCGCTCGGAAGATTTTTTTCACCCATCAGGGAACCATCGAGATTTTTTTACTTCCGGCTGGTCATGTCTTAGGGTTCTCACAAACCCACTAGGGGGGGAGTGAGCTGTAGCGGTAAATAATTCCCCAAAATTATTAACCACAGCAATCATCACTCAACATTGGATGCTGACCACCACTGTTTAAGTCGACTTGTTTAGCTGAAGGCTTACGGTCAAGCATCCCCGCCATTTGGTGCTCCGTCGTGTCACGTGCGTGCACGATTAATAGCTAGCTAAGCATTCACCTCTACCCGCGATTTTGTCCCGAAATATAATACGTACTTTGGACGACAAAATCTGGTCTTTTGCTTTACCATTTGGTACTCGAAGAACGAACACTATAGTGGTTGTTGGTATAAGATCTTGCGTTAGTATAATCCGTAAAACTCGCGAACACTCGATACCGTCAATCACTAAAACCTGTTCTAATTTCTTGTACAATCAATGCGCAATTTAATCTTTTGAAAATGTATGATATTAACAATTTATTTACAATATATTTATAGTTATATATATATAATATATTTACAATTACAATAACACCTGTAGAAATGCCATGCATTCCTTGTAAACACATGTGGTGAGAGATGGTTGCTAGCCAAATAGGCAGACAGTAATTGACGTCAATGTTTATGTCTCAAATATTAGTCATGTGGAAAGGTCAAAGATGGACAGCAGACTTTGCGTAGGCGGATACAGTTAGCACATAGATGATCTGACACAGCCACAAAGAGATGCAAGGTTAATTTCTGTGAGAAACAACCAATCAAAAGACTGTATTTTCAACTAACAATAATCTACAATAATGTACATTAAAAACTATAAATATATTGATTTTCCTTGATAAACGATCTGTTGCCTGACTATTGTCTTCTGTCGTTACACACCCGTTTATACGACTAAATTATTATTATTTGCTTAGTGCTATAATTTACAAAATGAACAATGCGTGTGACAGTGAAGACCACAGAAGAATGCTGTCATGACCAAAGAATGTGAAAGGAGAATGAATCCTTTTCAGAAACGGTGGGCAAATATAAAGAAATTAACATTTATGTTACTTTTCTCTAACCGCAGTGATTAAAAATATACACTTTATTCACTTATTTGCTGATGTCCAGTAACGTCAATCAACCTGGTCACAGCAATTCAACATGTACAAAATGAGAATATATTATTATTATCGCCGAAATAATTACGACAAACAATTGTGTAAGGACATGTGCTTGCTATTATTTTTCATCAAATTTACCTAACATCCTGCTTCCCAGACTTATCTTATTCTATCTGAGCGAAAGTAAATTTGTCATAATGACAAGATAGACGCCTGACTTATCAATGAGACCTATAAAGGTAATTAGTAACATTATTCAATGTAAGCGAAATACTGCTACGATTGTTGCAGCTCCATCTACTCAATTATTCGTCACATGAAGACTTCGTTTTGCATTATACGCTTACACCCGTAATCATATGGATTGAAATCACGCTTTACGAAATTGAACTTCCCCGCAGTGCCCAATTTCTATTCTCACTTTTCAGATACTGAGGTTAGGTTATTTTGCAATTGGTCTCTACAGATTTACCTATGGCTTGGACATGTAATCACGTAACTTTAGGCAGATATCTGTCTAGGCTTGACTGAATTACTTATAACTAACCACTTATACTGATCGGTATTATTCGCACAGAATTACATTTAAGTATACTAACGAGTTCATATTCTAGAGAGTACCGGTCCGGCATGCTATGCTCCCACCGCATGCAGATCAAATAGAACACAAGAATATTAGATAGAAAATTTTATTTCACTGCAACGCAGACAGGTTCATTCACATATATGTAGGCCGAAAATAGTCCAAGATGAAAGTCTTTGTTTACGAAGTATCCCCCATCATTTCACGGAAACTGCCCAGTATCCAGATTGCGTCACATTTAAAAACTTCCACAATTCAAGCAAGCAGGGCTGAATGCCCACAACGGAAGTTATCCGGCATGACTAACTGGAGCATAAAATATCTGCAAGGTCATAAGTGAACTCACCTTCCCCTGTTGATGGATGTGGAATCAATTCCTACAACTGGTTATGCAGGTGTATCTGGCCATAAGTCGTAAAACACTCGTTAGCGTATTTCGAATATTATTGTCCGAATTCGAATACGTCTGCTTACGGCTGAATTTAATTAACTGACAGACCTCAATACGACTTGACGTTTTTGAAAGTGATACAGATTAAATTCAATCACATAAATTAACCATTAACACAGTCAACATGCATGATCATATATGACTTAAGCATTAAATAAATTCATTATCATAGTTTACACTTCTTTTGAAAATGTGGAGCACATTAATAGTGCAAAAATGTCATTAACTGCCAGTAATTTTGTCATTGAATCGCACTACGAGGATACCCTTGACAATACTTTGTAAGTAGTCTGAGGGACAAAAATGTTCTAGAGAAACTTATACACCATATTAAAATTCCATGGAAGTTTCTCGCTACGATGATATTTTTCTCATTCAGCAATTTCCCTCCTGAACGGGAACGCAGTGAATGCAAAATGTCCACAATGTTGGCAGTTTAGGAAATACTCGCTTATTTAAAGTTCTACCACGCATTCTTATCTTCCTCCCGGCAGCGGAAAGGTCCTTTTTCCATAATGTCAAAAAATTTCAGTTACATCTGTGCTGCATCTGCTCGCACCGACTATCTGAGATGAGATTCCAACAAGGTCTTAGTTAATTTGTACTCATTGTCGTCAAAACTAATCATAGTTTATCCGCAAGAAACACAGTATGTTAGACTACGGGAATGAGACGTTCTGACGCGGAAAATTTAGTACGCATACGTGAACTCGAGAAATGCATTGGGACCTACGGAATAATTATCACTGATAACCACCATAACGCGAAGTCAGATTATCTATCTGCGAATTGTATCTACCTGCTCAAAGACTGATGTGATTGGTTGTTGAATCAGTCTTTGTTCTTATTTTTCTCACGAACAATATTGGGAACGTAAACATTGACGTAAATTACTGTCTACCATTTTGGCTAGCGGCCAGCTCTCACCACAGTACTAGTGAATACTAATCAATCCATTTTGGTTTATACATGGAAATTTATAACATGCAAAGTGTTTGGTGGATTGTGGTGAAAATCACAAACATGCCTTCAGACAACTTGCTTTAGGTATATTTCGTGACATGTCGGTAGATTCTAACTTTCACCGTGAGACACATCTATTAGGCACATCACCTTTGAATTAGTTGTTTTATCTGAGCTGGTCGATTTAGTTGTGAAGCTTTCGCCGTCCTTCTGGACAACATCTTCAGCGCATTAATATATGTGTAAGACTTGGGCACTGTAGTAGTAAGTAATTCCATATTAGTGGCATTCAAACCCACAAACCCAATTAGAAACAAGCTTTGTCGGTTAAAGGAACCTGTGGAGCCTTTAAAACAAAACAATTTACTTTATCTAATGCCCTGAAACGATTGTCAGGTCAAATACATAGGTCAAACTAGTAAAAACAGGGGCAGTCAGACTAGCCGAACATGAAAACCTAGCAAAATCTAGATTGGTTGACCCGAATAAGATAAGAAATCTAGAGAATAGTTCAGCTATAGCACTACATGCAGTCACACACAACCATATAATAGGATGGGATCGGATGACAGTTTTAAAATCTAATGTCACAGGGTGCAGGGAGAGATTGATAACAGAAGCTTTTTTATCGAATCAACTACAAATACATGTAATAGGAATGATTCATCACCTGTTCCAGCTATCTAAAAAATTCTACAACCCCTACAACAAATAGAAGACAAAGAGAACTATAAAACTCAAGTTTCAAAGTTGTGTGATTACAATTGACATGATTATGAACAATAAATTTTGTTTGAAACGTCACCCAGTAAATCATACTGTTTCACTGTGCAATACACCTAGTAAACAAACTGATATGGAGTCTTCAGCGCATGTTTTAGAATAAAATGAACTCATTTGAATTCTCCATGAACGATATAACTGTGTCTCCTGGCAGCCATCTTCATGACTGATAGTTGATTTACATCTCTATTGATGATTTTTATTGACTTAGGATTTGAAATTTCTTGTCAAGTGATTTACTTTTTATTAGCTGGTAATTTTCGTCGACAATAATATTTTTAAGTATTGGTTTGGTAGGGATTTTGTTTAATTGCATGGAGGATTTCATCATGAGCTGACATCAGTTAGAGAACCACTGGAAAACTTGGGAGTACTGGACAGCTGTTTCGTCCTAGTTTGGGACTCTTCAGGAGTACGCACACACCGGGATTCGAACCAGAAGGTCCTGGGTTTATTATTGAGTAATAAGGGGTGACATAATTGATATAATTACTCAGAAGTGGTTTTATAAAGGAAAATGAAATTTGTAAGTCACGTAGTACTCAACGGCACAAAGGAAGAAAGGGTTAGAAATAAGGTTAAAATTGTTATTGAGTAAGAAGTTAGTTGATTGTTAATTTAACAAGTGTGAAGAGAGTGAGAAAGTGTGCAAAAAGAACATATGCGAGTGATAATAGTGAATTAATTACTAAAGTAAACGAAAAATTAAAAGATTTACTGGGGACGACTAGTGAAGTGGTTAAGACCATGGTAGAATAAGAGATTGGACAAACTTTTTCTGTATACAGAGTTCTGGGTTGTATTGACGAATTGCAAACGCGTCTGCCATACACAAACGCCGAAACCTAACGCCCTTTGTACCATATGACTTCACCTTGTAGATAATTTCGAAAGACGATTCTGGTGGAGCTACGTGGCTTGAGTTCACCAAGTGCTTGAGAATTGAGCTAGTAACTGTCTTTTATTGTTCTCTTGCTAACCATGTCGGATAATGTTCAGAGATGCATTTGGAAAGTGTGCGCTCTGTGCCGCCAAGTTTTGTTGATTCAGTCCTATTTCATCCACTGGAAGTTTATTCACTTTCTTCTAGTTCATAATCCCAATGCATATGTACATATTTATTTGGAAGTTAACAGTGGTTAAAATGTTTCATTAGAAATCAGTATAGATAGAGTTGTTAACTTTTAGACGGGAACTGCAAACAGAAACGGAAATTCCTTGCTGCCTTCTCCTAGTTAAACTATTAGATAATTTCAAGGTAGATGTTACTTGAAATATTTAGACCTTCTTCTTATGTATGCTTGAGAGGGAGATAATCATCTTACTGTGTTACACACAATGTAATATTTGTAACAGATTTACCACTGAAGTAATACGTCAATAAAGGAATTTATCTTCAGTCTGTCTGAGGAATAGTTATGATAATGACTTATGTTTATAAAATTGAGACACGAGTTTGTTATTGAAATGTTATATATATATATATATATATATATATATATATATATATATGGGAGCAGGGTATGTAAAACTATGTCTTGTAGAAATTGAAATTAAACCTCCCTTCTTTTAATTGCTAATCGTTCCTTTTTTTGTCATTTTCTTTGATATTTTTAGTTGACAATCTCTCTAATATACAACCTTCCATTAATTGTCAATAAAAGGGAAAGAGAGTTTCATAACTGGAACTTATTATTTCCCCTAGCTGCACAAATCATTCCCTCTATTCCACCTTCTAGTTGGTTAGTAATTGACAATCTTCTAAAAAGTGCTTCCAACTTAAATGTTGTCTGTACACGATTATGAGCCCGAATTATTGATGTTGCTCCGCTTAGTGTTCAAGCACTAAAAGATTGTTTATGGTTAACGTGTAAAGAATGTTCCATTTCACAGAGAAGTTCTTGTATTTTTAATAATGACATGTATGTATTAATTACAATGATATTTTTTAATGTGTTTTTAACTACTCATTTATTAGTAACGTGTTGATTCATAAATTAGTTTTTAACCCAGATGCCAAAGGAAATAAAATATTCCTAGTAGTTGGTAGATTGTTTGAAGTTTTGTTCATTCCAGATTTTTGTAGTAGTAAAACTTACTTTTTAAAACATACCAATCAATAAACCATTCTAAGAGTGTCATTAGTATAAAGTAAAGACATTCATATAAAACACAAGATGATTGAGCAAAAAATATCCTATTCCATAAATTCCTCTTCTGGCTCTACAATTATAGATATGTTTATATACATAGAATATTCTAGATTAGTAGTCATTAACAATATTAGTGTTGTTTTTTATCGAAAATGATATTCTTTGCTCAATCATGTTGTGTTTTATAGATGTCTGAATAAATATTTTTGCTATATTGAAATCTTCTGAACATTCATGTAATGGAACAAAAGTTTCTGCATCAAACTCTTTATTCGCAAACTAAACAGTTCGAGACGAGAAACACCATAGTTTCTGTTGAAAACCAGAAATATTAAGATCATAATATGTGGTCTGTTTGATAACACGAATGGCATTCAGGATAACATAAAGTTATATTATGTAACTGATTGATATGGGTAGTTGGGAACCACTCACAGTGCTTGCTGGCACTCCACAGTATGTGATGTGAATATTTCTGATGATTTCTCACCAAGAACTATGTAATGTGTAAATGAAGAATCTGAGTCTAAGCATTACTAGTTCGACCAAGTAGCTAGCCAGAATTTGGGTAGTTTTAATTCTTTCGGCTTTCTGAGCTGAGTCAAACTACCTACACTGCTGATGTGCTCGGTCTCAAACGAACGAAGCAACTCTCTGGTCTTTAGATCACCTCTATCTAGCTACCAAGCATTAGCGTGTGATTTAATTTGATATTAAGCTCGATTATCCGGAACAGATTTTTCATGTACCACACTTATTGTGTTGGGCACTGGTGGTGATACTACCCATTAGCGCATACTGAATAAGGTGGAGGTGGACTCGAATGCCTGACCCATTGGTTGAAAACCAAATGCTTAAGCCAATGAAACATATCCCCATTTTTGACTTGAGTCGTTCCCAACTACTCATATTAGCAGCAAACGCCATGATGCTATACGTTTCTGTAGTCACTGAAAGTATGGATCCTACCTCACTGCAGCCAGTGGAATTATTTCGGTTTCCACTTAACTTGTTACACTCCTGCGACGGTATTGTCATTCTCCACTGATTGACTATTTCAATGGTATATATAATTCCTTGGAAGCATCTCTATAACTTCCTAATTCTCGTAATCTACTTTCTTTTTATCATGTATCTGAATTCTTGGTGCATTGTTTTGATAAAAACTAATTACTGCAAAGTCCTTAGTGCTATTTGAAGTTTATGAACACGACACTCAAGTACATTGTAAAAATAACGTCATCTTTTTATATTCTTGTTGCACTTAAATCTAGACATTTTCATTATCTTTCTTCTTTCAGCATCCCAGTTTAGGTAACATTATGACTGTAGAAACAATTATCAACATTCATATTCTGTCCTGTATTGCATTAGCGTTATTATCACTATTACTCCTATTATTGTGTTTTATTGAAAACTGCATGGTTCCCCTCCTTATTACCACATCTGATCAGATTGAAGCCTGAAGGCTACACAGTACATAGTCAGTACTATTTATTTCCTTAACCAGGTTTGTTTGGTAAACTCATATGGTCTTGTAACGACTTAGTTTATGATATTTACCTATACCTTTTATTATGGACGGTTACTTACAGCAGTTTTTACGGTTGTTTACTACTTTTCTTTTCATCTTACTGAAAACATTCTAGAACTGATATTCGTTGTCGTTGGTAAGTTGTCCGGGGCGCACCAACTGTCTTAGCTGCCATCTAGTGCTCGGCCATTGATTGTCAACTACCAAACTTTGACTATAAATGCAAGACACACTGCAAAGTGGATGACTTGTGTTCAAAGTTATATTTTTGAAAGTGTACTCAGTACTGACCCGAGATATTATGTGTTTATTATTAAATTATTATTCCCAGTGAAACATAGAGTTTTAACAGCACATCTCTATTTTATCTTGTTCTGTGCAGTCCCCACGATTGCCTATAAGCTCTCACCTCCTCCTTACACGATCTCCTCCATGTCACTCTCGGATGCCCAACTTGTCGTTTCCCATTCGAGTTCTACTAGAGGACCTGACGCATGGTATCACTCGAAGTGTGCCTGATACGTATCCATTTCCTTCAGCACATTTTTCGGGCAATAGGTTCTTGCTTGTTTTTTCGCTGCCTGCCACATATCCTTGTTGCTAATTCTTTCTAATCACTTAACATTCATTATGGAGCGGAGACAGTTGCTGATAAAAGTCTGAAGTGTGTTAGAAATAATTTTGGTGATGCACCAAGTCTCTGAACCATACAGAAGAACCGACTTAACATTAGTGTTAAAAATCCAAATGCTGTTATTAAGGCCTAATGAGACAAATGTCCATATTGATTTTGGATTAATGGAAGTTCTTTTTGCTTCTTTGGTCTTGAGTGGTTTCGACATCGTCATCGGTGCCACCTGTAACTGAAGCGGTGCTAGCTAGATAAGTGAAAGAGGTGACTTCCTTCAAGTTTCCCCCGCTGATAGTGATTGGAGCTTTTCGTTGTCGCTGGTGACCAGGTATCTCCATCTTCTCCGAGTTCACCTGAAGTCAAGCCTTCTCTGTTTCTTCTGCCAACTTGTTGACCTTCGCCTATGAGTCTTCGAGTTTATGGTACATTTGACATAAATCATCTGCACAGTCCAGATCTTCTGAAGTCTTCTTGTCAATCCAGCGTATTCTGTTTTTTCTCACCTCACCCTGTTGACTATAATCAAGATTATCATCTTTGACTTTAGACAGCCTTTTCCTACTCCCGTCTTCGCTTTAAAGGCTTCCCTAAGCTTTTTGTTTACGAAGTATAAAATTTCTTAGTTATCCATGAGTTTAAGTATTATCTTTCGCTTACACAGCACAGAATTGGATTGGTCAATTTTCTAACTAGTTCATTCTTTTATCTGTGAAGTCCATATATTTCAATAGTTGTTAATTTTCCTTCCATAATGGATAAAATTAATTTTGATAACGTCTTACAGTTTTAAACAGTAATATTTACCGATGATGTTTCGATCAAAATTTATTGCTCGTAATCATATCAAGTTACTCGCACAACTTTCAAACTTCGTTCATATAATTCCATTATTTTTCATCTCATCCGTTATCTGTAAAGTCAGGCTTAGTGAAGTGTCTAACAAAGCGAGCAATAGCACTAAGTACCACAAGAAAAAACCTGAACGATGAAATAAAACAGCTAGAAGAAGTTTTTGTGTTAAATAACTAACTATCCTATCAAATCCATTAGGAATATCAAAAAAGGTCAAAAGCAAAATAAAAATAATGGGGAAACTAATGATGATAACATAAATGAGAAAGAATGTAAGGCATCTATAGTTTCACCATATACGGAGATGATATATGAAACCCTACGTAGGATTCTTAATAAAGCAGGAATTACAGTGATATTGAAACCTACAAACTCACTCAGGGACAAGCTCTGTACCTTAAAGGACCCTGTGGACTCAATCAGACAAAATAATATTATTTACAGAATGCCTTGTAATGACTGTGAGGTCAACTACATAGGTCAAACTAGTAGGTCGGGGGTAGTCAGATTGTCTGAAAATAAGAATTTAGCTGAGGTAAGAATGGTTGACCTCGAGAAGATAAGTAATTTAGAAAAAAGCTCAGCGATTGCACTGCATGCATTGACACACAATAAAGTGGGACAGAGTTAACATTTTAAAAATTATTATAGGTAGGTGGAGAGAGAGGGTTTGATTACTGAGTCTTAATAACTTACTTAGGCTGTGAGCAGATGATGAGATGCCAACGAAGTGATTGTACCATATTATTCCGCAAAAACTGTCGTTCTTGCTTTTTTCAAAATCTTTGTTCGTCGAATCTACACCCAACACATGCAACAGCAATGACTCATTACCAATACCAGAGATATGAAAAATACTACTACCAATTAAATCAAGAGACGAAAAATAATGGAATTATGTAAACGAAGTTTGAAAGTTGTGCGAGTACCTTGATATGATTATGAGCAATAAATTGTGCGCGAAACATCATTGGTAAATATTACTGTTATAACACCGTAAGACGATATCAAAATAAATTTTCTCCATAATGGAATTATACTCTGACACAGTATCCAAGTTCTGTTCTTATATTAATGTTTCGTTATATAATAATTTTTGCCATCATAACTTCAGACAGTCTTATTGTAAACAGAGGTATATTGAATGTTTACATCACTAGATTCGTTTTGTGAACCATTTTTCAAAAGTCTGAAATACCCTTGTTTTGTAGTTGTTAGTGTTAACATTTTTCGCTTCTTTTTTCTTCCAGTGGTATGTGCGAATGCGGATCTCGATAAGTTGATATTACTTTTTTTCTCTATTTTGAAGTTTAACTCTTCTGCCTTTTCTTTTCCTACATGTAGAAGATCTATCCGGTACTATGATTCTAACTGTTTCTGGTCAGGATGTTATCAGTTTACTCACTGATTTAGTCGATAGTCAGTTAACGCCATTCATCCACAATAGCACATGGTGGTCAGGATTAGTTTTTGAATTGCCAGAACTCAAGAATATGCATATATCACCAGAAGAAGTGATCCTTGATCAATATCATCAATTATTAGGAGAGTGGATTGATGTAGCAGTTAAAGTAAGCTGGTCAAAAGAAACCGTATCATCAGATTTTGTGAATCAGAATGATCTTCAAATTAATTTAATTGGTTGGGATTCTGTATAAGGATATACCAGCATGCGTGAATATCATGCATTTGTTCATTTTATCTTGTAATTAAGACATAAAATATATCTTTATAACTGTATTTCACACTGTTTTTTGCTATACTATTTTTTTTTGTTCGGATGTCATTTAAATGCTTACAGTGTAACATATTCGAAAATGTTTTCTACAAGCATCTATTTTTGAACTGTTATTTGTTTCTTCTGTGAGTGTAAACAACGCAAAAATCAGTTAAGCCTAAAAGAATACAACTGATCGCCTTGAATTTCGTTGCAATTTCTTCAGCACTTTATAAGCTGAAAGCAGTATAAGTGGAAATCAAAGAATAAAGTTTTCATGAAAGAATCAGTGTTATATGATTGTAAAAAGCTTTTCTTAGTAATGTCATAAATAAGCTGCCCCTTAGAATATAAGAGTTATAGAGTAAGGATCACAAAGATTGCTTTGATTTCAGTGGATTATAATTACACTTAAAAGGGTAACCAATGCCTGAAGTCTGTTGGCTTGGAATCTCTTTGTTATGCAGCCTATCAGTTTATCCCTACTTACCGTCCCGTTACTAAGAATAATGCTGTTTTTAATACTTTGACTAAATTAGTTTAGGGTTGGTTGTTTTTCTTTGATGCGTTAACGAAATATTTAACTGTTGTTCATTGGTATTTTGATGACGACTTCAAGTAGAAAACCAAGACACTCAGAGGACAAGAGACTAAACTGGGGAATATTCATTCATTCACTACAGCTGTACGATTGCAATTGTTCCGTGAATGCGTTTAATAATTTTACATTTAAAATATATAGTAGCTAGCAGAATAAATACAAAGTTGTTAAGATTAGTGAGTGTCAACCAAAATATAAAAGAGGTGTAGTAAAGTCGATGAAGTGTTAATTAGTATGAGAAAGTGTTCAAAGAACGAATTATTACCAAAAGAAGTGTGGAAATAGAAAAAAGGTGTTATTTAGTAAGAACTAGTTCCTTCCTATCTATATCGTTGAAGCTTCGGTCATCAAAATAAAGGAACCAAAGCTTTGTATACAGTCCCACCTCCTACCATAGTACTGACCAGCTGATGTTAAGATTATTATTAATAATCCTTCCACCCCACTTGATTCCTACCCAGTGGCACCTCTTTTGTGCCTATGCTCCATTTGAGAATAATTCGTTACTGTGGGAGTTTGTCATATTACTCATACCCTTATCTATTATTTATTCACCTTTACTGTACCTCTATTAAATTTTGGATTAACGCTTAGTGATGTTAACAACTTTAAACTCTCCTGATTACTATAGGTTTAAATGTAAAGCCATCGAACACATTCATCGAGCAAATTGTATATGATTGTGGTTGTAAAATTGTAGTAAATCGAATCACCGCAGAGTTACTTCGATGACTCATTTATTTTCTTTTTTGCTATCTGTTTTAACGGGGATTTACCGTGAAATCTTTCCAAATCAGTGACTAGTGTCCCTTGAACAATCCTGTAGATTATACCAATCAAGTGGTGATAATTAATGGAAGGGGCTTAATTCAGTCATTGTAATCCAAAACAGGAATAAGTTAGGAGAGGAAAACAAGTGAGTTTAGTAATTAAGTGCCTGATAGCACTGTTTTATAGTTTGTTAATCTCTTCCGTGCTAATGGTTGCATATACACACTATTGATCTTCCACAACATGAAAAACGTAGATAACCCACGATTTGACTGACTGAATTATTAAGGTGGAGCTTTACACAAAGTGCATCAATTTAGCTTCCTACACTTCAGAAAAGCAAGCGTAAAACTAGAGGAAGGAAATGTAACGAAACTAAAATAGACAGAAATGTAGCGAAAACGAATGATTAGCTAATGATTTCGAGTAACAACCAAAAGTGTTTAACGATTGATTTCAGGCATCTCGATGAACGCAGCCAGACAGGCTGCATGGCTTGAATCAACAGTCAAAGACTTCACGGGCTGATACCTTGCTCTGGTCTGACCACCCCTAACCCTCTTCCAAAGTAATTCTACGTCACATAATGTTGCTCGCCTAGGAAGGCGCTAGCTTAGTGGGCGTAATACGTCCTGAACATCTCGATTTAGGGAATTTCATCGACTTCCTTGCTCGACAGTCCACGGCAAATCTCATCACTTCAGCAAAACAATAAGAGGACGTAATTTATCTGGAACGTGTAATGTGCTGGCGCAACATATTCTGGACATTCTGATCACACAACGTATTTGTCATACAGATTTATATAGAAAGCAACATGACATGAATGATTGCAGTATAGGCAACAGGTAAGAGGTAGGAAGACATCGTAAGAAAAACAGGGGTGAAAATATCAGAAAGTAAATTGGAACTTGGTTTTAAAATTGGACTACCAAGGAAGGTTCAGACTAATGACAAATAATTTTCTAACACATGGAACAGGTGTACACCTTTTATGGCTAAGGCTTCAACGAGTTTGAAGATGAGCATTTCCGATAAGTAGATGCGTTGATATGATGAGTTCATTACGACCATTGTTGGCTGATGTTGCGTTGTAAATCTGGCTGGAGCAGATTCGATGAATTTAGATGTATCGTTTATTTTAGGTTTTCGAAAACATTGCAGTTACAGTGACCTAACAAACTTGTGAGTGAACATCCATGATATTGGAGATATTGGATTTAAAGTCGGGATGCATCCAGGTTTTTAACTCTCTGGCTCTCATCAACATAATATCTTTATGGCCTTGAGAAAACTAGTGTTCCTTCTTAAGTTTTTAATTTTTCCCTCGATTCCGCAATGAAAAACTTCATGACTGTAATTTTCGGAGCTAGAGTATCCGTATAGTCTTTCGACAAGCAGTAATCAGTTCAACTTAAATGTAACAAGATGGATAGGTTGGATCGACTGATCCATAATATCACGCAGCTGCACATCACTGTCATCTTATGCAGTTAAATGCCAACATTTTGGGCCTGATCAGTACCCATAACGTTGGTTGTCATCCAGAGATAAATTTACAAACATTCATAGTAATAAAATAATGATAACTAGTGCCATCATTTTACAGAAGTTACTCCTGTCATAAGTAAATAAAAATGGTGTTCACAAAAATTTAGTCAAGAATTCATACACCCTTACACCTGAAGTGTAAATCTTAAGTTCCCCGTCGATTTCTCCTAAGAATTGTGTTGAATACCGAAAAAAGTATGGCGTTAGATGTTAATGGGCATAAATAGGAAGAAAGCTAACCGTGACGTCAATCCCATCACTTGTGATGATCCATAACCATGTAGTGCACTTTACATTGCCCCCATGTAAGTCTTCTGACGGTTAGACTCTTGATTACTACTCGATTCCACAAAATTAGGAGCGGTCAAACTGTAAAAGGTTTTTTTGCGACATGTTCTATAGGCAAAATCACTTTGGATATGTGTGTACGCTGACATTGGTATTTTTCAGTTATTTTGTAGAATATTTTCTATGGTCAGCCATTATCATACTTAGACGTATGCTCATGTCAAGTTGTTAGGGAGATTTCAACTTCTTGGAGGATATGGAGAAATCTGCTGCAATATTAATTGAAGCATATAATTAGTTGATAATGAGATGTGAAATTATAAGTTAGCATGTGTATCTGCTTCAAACTCATCAGTTGTAGTCGTTGACATATATGTCCTGTGAGTTGATATATTGAAGCTGTCATCTCTGCTAATTTTCTGCAGGATTTAGAAGATACGAGAATTTAACCTGTTCGCGCTAGCAATTCAGAAACTACTTATAAAATAGAATAAAAATTACGTTAAACGTTTAACGTACGAATCAAATAATTTACTTTAATTTCAAAAAGATTTCCACTACTGACTGACCCTTTTATGCAGAGCTCTGGAGAGCTATCTTATTTTAGCATTCGGATGAGTGGTGAGTATGCACAACCAAATAGAGTATTCACATGCTTCAATTTCCATTGAATCACTATATGCAGTTTCTAAAACTTTATCGTCAACAACTGTCACGCATTAATTCTAGCTTCTGAAATAATGGAGAAGATTTGTAGCTGAGGTGGATGATATTGAATTAGTTGTGTTCTCTGAGCTGGTTGATTTAACTGCGAAGCTTTCATCGTCCTTTTAGACAACATCTTCAACGCAAGTTTTAGTATAAAACAGACTTATTTAGTTTCTCCATAAGTTATATAATCGTATCTCCTGACAACCACTGTCGTGACTGGTTGTTAATTTACGTCACTATTGATCATTTTTATTGACTTGGAATTCGAAATTTCTTGTCATGTGACTTTCTTTTTATCAGCTAATTTGGCTGTAGAAAGACATGCATGTGGATAGTTATGGACACCGATTTGATTGGGATAATGTAGAAATGTTAAATACAGGAAACACCAAAAATGCCAAGGAATTCCTAGAAGCCTGGTATTAAAGTGAATTAGCAGTTAACAGACATATTATTATAGACCAGCTCAGAACTAATTCTATTATTCTAGCTTCATCAGCCTAACTTGCCACAGTTTGTACTTTGAACTTCAGAACGTCAGTCTCACTGTCCAACAATGTTGTAGAGCGTCGAGCTAGTAGTCCGAATGCCAGTGATTCGAAACCTACACAGATTCAGATTTTTGTTTCACCCGTTATAACAGTAATTTTTCTGCCAGCCTAACGCTATCCTAAATTCTCTTATCATCGAATATTATCTAATCTGTTGGTTTGATCTTCGGTGATTTTCTATCTAGTGTTAGTCTATGATAAGAAATATCACGGAAACAGTTAATTTCCCACAAAACACTAAGAGGAATTTTTAAAAATAATTGAATAACTTTTAAATGTATCTACCTTTTCTTTGAAAGATTCTCGCATAACTGTTACTTTTCCGGACCAGAATTTCATTATCGTATCTGTCAACGTAACAGATAGCCTATCTAGACCTATCCCCAAATCAATTCCGGGAAGTTTTGTACTACTACAAAATAAATTAGTAGCATGTGAAAATTGACTCAATTTTCTCTATAGATAACAATGCCTAGATTATCTTTCAGAACCGAAAGGTTCTTTCCAGACGTCTCAACATAATCCTGAAGCATTCTACAGTGAACACCGA